TAGAGCAGAGTCTGAGTTCGAATGCTAGCTCCCTGTTTGCAGGCAGGCTGACCTCAGGCACGTCACTGAACAAATCTGAGTCTCTTAGGATGTTCTGAGGCGTCATAGGCCATTGATGAGGATCAGTGTGTGTGCCTGCTCGTCCTCAGAGGGCCTTGCAGGGGGGGTGGAGCAGAATCCACCCAGCCCTCCAGGACAGGATTGGAGAAGGCCTCCAAGGATGAAGAGGCTGCGATGAGGGCCCAGGAGCAGGACCCGCCTCCAAAACTCAGGGCCAGGAAGAACCCATTATTGCTGAGAGCTGGGAGGGTCCCCACAGAATGGCAGTGTGGAGGCTTCATGTGCTTAACCAGACTTGAGCCAGGATTTCATTTATTCTTTTAATTCTTTCCATGTTTTTAACTTGTTTACGTGAAGTACAGCAGCCATTCAGAAAAATGCACAAAACGTAAATGTATTCACTGCGATGGGTTATCACAGCAGGAACACACACAGATAACCCCCACAGGTCCCACAGGTCCCACAGGTCAAGAGGTGTGATGTTGCCAGCACCCCAGAAGCTTCCTCATGTCTCCCATCGCTCCCCCACCTCATAAATGGATCTAATACCCTCGCTTCTAACTCTATTGCTTAAGTTCACCTGTTTTTGAAGCAAATCTATATGGCATCGTAGAGCAGGTATTTTGTGTCCGACTTCTTTTGCTCACACTTGAGTGACTCCTCCATGTGGTTTCACGTAGCTGTCATTCATTCATTTTCACCGCTGTCTGGTATTCCATTGTATAAATGAATCTCATCATTCTACTCTAGTGGGCACTTGTGTTATTTCCAGTTGGAGATTATTGCAAATAACGCTGCTAGGAATGTTCTTGCACCTGCTTCTTGGTGATTCCCACGTGCGTTTTATTGGGTGTATACTCAAGAGTATAATTGCTAGGTCACAGGCTCTGCATATGTTCCACTTTAATAGCATCCAGCATCCGAGCAGCTCTCCAGCGTGACAGTGACACTTGACGTCCCCCGGCGGTGAATAAGCGCTCCACTGTTCCACACCCTCACCAACATCTGATATGGTCAGGACTGTTTTGTTTTGTTTTTGTCATTCTAGTGGATGCATAGCAGTATCTCGTTGTGGTTTTATTTTTTTATTTTATTTTATTTTTTTTTTGTGAGGAAGATCAGCCCTGAGCTAACAACCATGCCAAGCCTCCTCTTTTTGCTGAGGAAGACTGGCCTTGAGCTAACATCCGTGCCCATCTTCCTCCACTTTATGTGGGACGCCGCCACAGCATGGCCTGACAAGTGGTGCGTCGGTGCGTGCCCGAGATCCGAACCTGGGCCGCCAGCAGCGGAGCACGCACTTAACTGCTATGCCATGGGGCTAGCCCCTCACTGTGGTTTTAAATGTCTAATGAGAGTGGGCATCAATTCAGATACTTATTGAATTATTTTGTCAAGTGCCCAGTTCAGATCTCTTGTCATTATTCTGTTGGGTGGTCTTCCTTTTTCTTGTTGATTTGTAGGAGTTTTTATATCTGCACATGAGTCCACTGTCTGTTGTGTGTATTACAAATATCTGCTCCCACTCATCTTGCCCATTCAACTCCTTAAGGATATCTTTTCATGGACAGAAGTTCTTCATTTAAATGTACCCAACTTATCACTTCTTTCCATTCTGGTTTGTGGTTTTTTCTGTCCTGTTTTTAAAAACCTTTCCCTACAGCAAGTTCATGAAGATATTCTTATCCTTGTCTTCTAGAAGCTTTATTGTTTTACCTTTTACATTTAGACCTACAATCCATGTGGAATTTATTTTCAGTTATGATATGTGATAGAAGTCTTTCCCTTTTTTCCATATAGATATCAAATTGACACAGCACAATTTATTAAATTACAATCCTTTCCCTGCTGCCCTGTAATACTGTCTTTGTCATAAATTGTGTCCATATGTGTGTGGGTCTGTTTCAGGGCTCTCTATTCTGTTTCTTTGACTTATTTATCAATCTTTGCACCAATATTACCCTCTCTCTCTCTCTCTTTTTTTTTTTTTTTTTTGCTGAGGAAGATTCACCTTGAGCTAACATCCGTGGCCAATCTTCCTCTTTTTGCTTAAGGAAGATTCGCCCTGAGCTAACGTCTGTGCCAATCTTCCTCTATTTTGTATGTGGGACGCCGCCACAGCATGGCCACTGACAAGTGATGTAGGTCCACACCCGGGAACTGAACCTGGGCCGCTGAAGTGGAGTGTGCCAAACTTAACCACTAGGCCATGGGGCCGGCCCCCTACCCTGTCTTAATTACTGTCACTTTATCATAAGTCTTGACGGCTGATAGAGCAAGTCTTCCCACCTGTTTCTCTTCAAAAATACTTTGGCTATACTTGTCCTTTTTATTTCTCACACACTGTAGAATCAGCTTGTCTATTTCTACACGTACACACAGTGTTGTGATTTTGATGGAGAGTGCCTTGAGTCTATAAATCAATTTAGAGAAGAACTAACTCATTAAATATTGTATCTATCTTTCAATCCATGAGCATGGTATGGCCCTCAATGTATTTAGGTTTAAATTATTTTTAATTAGATGATTAATATAGGGATACATTCTTATTAAAAATGCAAAAATTAGAGATGAAACAAGTATTCCTTTCCCTTCCCAAACTCAGCAGCAGCCACTGTTACTATATACCTATATGCATGCACACACACACCAGTTATGGATGGGATCATATTAATTTGCCACATGCTTTTTCTATTTAACAATAGAGTGTGGACATCTCTCTGTGTCAGAACAATTGATCTGGGTCATTCTTTGTAAGTGCTGCCTGTGGTCCAGCGACTGAGTGTGCCCTAGTATAAGACTACAAACAGCTGCAGTGAGCATCCTTGAAGATGTTTTCTTGGATATGTGTTCCTCTAAAAGATAACCCTAAAGCAAAGAAACTCATTCAGATAATGCTGTAGTTGTTCAGAGCAGACATGATAAGAGCCTGAACTAGGCTGGGGAAGGAAAGGAGGGATGAATTTCCCTTTCCAAAATATCATGTGCTTCCTCTTGACAGTCTACTGGGCCTCCCAAACCCCTGTCAGTCATGGGGCTGCCATAAATCTAAGATTTAGCACACAGCAGAGGAGGGGCCAGGGAGCCCAGGGTGAGGGCAGCAAGGAGGAAGAGGAGGGGGTCTGACTCGCTGATTAAAGCAGCCACTAGAACATCAATGGGGTGGGATGAAAGCTGCTGCTTCCAGGTCAAACCTGCCCTGGGCAGGGGCCTGTGCCAGGCCCTGCATACACATGACTCTGAGCCTCGCAGCGAGGCACCTAAGGCTCGGAAAGGTGAAGGGGCCTTTCCTAGCTCACTCAACAAGTCAGTAGCCAAGCTGGGCTTCTGACCATGGCCTGACCACAAAGCCTGTGTGTGTACAGTCTCTGGGCTGAGTCTCCTACTTAATGGTGCCATCTGAGGTCACCAGATGGGCAGATCTGGAGGAGCCAAGACCTGGAACTCCCCTGGGGCAGGTGCTGGGGAGATGGACCCAGCACTGGCACCAGTTAGAGGGAGTCCAGCCAGAAGGCTAGACAGTGGCAGGTGACAAGTGGTGTCTGATGAGCCCCTGCTGTCTGGGAACCCTTCCCCAAGAAGCCAGTGGCCCGCCATGCAGCAGGTTGGAGGCAGTGGCTGGGAGCCAGGCCACATCTCCAGTCAGTGTGGGGCCCAGCTGGGAACTGGGGGCAGAGCTCTGCTTCCTGAGGACTTGGGAGCCTCGCTGGGCCCATGAGCTCCCAACCCCATGTGCAAGGCCTCCACAGCCATAGGAAGGCCACAAGCCACCTGGCTCAGCAAACTCCCGCTGGCCTCACACCCCTCCTCACTCTCCTCCCCTCAATCTAGCTCCCACCTCCTCCTCCCCTGTGGGCCTTCCTGGCTGTACATCTTGGATCCCTCTTCCATATTTTGCGCTGTTTAGATTTAAGAAACTCCCTTCACAAAACTATCTATAAATAGCAGTAGAGAATTTCTGATTATAACACAAATGCGTGTAAATATAGCCTATTAACTCTCCTATGCATACATATGGGCAAAGAGGAATTTTCTTTTCCCAAATTGAGACCACACTAATAATTCTTTTTTGTAACCTGCCATTATCACTTGTCAACATTTTGTGAAGTTTCCACGTGGTGGGGCATCATGGCAGGATTGCACAGCGATTCAGACTCAAGTGCCAGCAGGCCTGGGTCTGGTCCTGGCTCTGCCACTCGTCAGCTTGGTGACTGAGCATATTACTCACCTCTCTGGGCCTTGGTTTCCGCGTTGGTAGAATGAGGATGACTTTAGCACCTACCCTCCTAGGCTTGTTGTGAAGACTAAATGAGGGAGGCCCCCAGAAGAAGGCCTGACCTAGAACATCCAGATATTATGATCACTGTTATTCCCAACCTCATGACAGAGTCTGGCCTAGATCTTGTAGCTGGATCCCAGCCCCGCTGATCCGGGTCTCCCGGGCCGACCCTGGATCCCTTCCTGACCCCTGGGCTGGCTGGGGAGCTGGCGCCTGGGGTCAGCTCCCAAGTGGCATTCAGTGGGATTTCTGAGAGGTTCCCTGGGTTCTCAGTGACATGAGGAAGGAGAAGGATTAGAAAAGGGCAAAAGGAGAAAGGAGAAACAGAGACGTGGCTCTGATCCAGCCCGGCCCTGGAAACCTGGCCCTGATCTTTCAAGTCTCTCTCACTCGTGGGCTTCCCACCTGGTGTCTGAGCCCTGGGTCCCCCCTGGTGGCATCACGAGAAGATACATGGCCCCTGGAGAGAACATTGGTGATGCTGCTCTCACGTGGCCAGGGGGGTGAAGACCAAGGCATAACCACTGCCCCAAGGAGTTGCTAAGACTTGGGGGCACAGCTTGGGGTTCACACTGTTTGTTGGCCTTGGGGGTGACCCATGACTTTGAAGTGGGGGTACAGATGTGGGCTGGGGGCTCAGCTCTGAGTCGGGGGTCCACAGGAGATGAACAACTACCGGCGGGCCATGCAGAAGATGGCAGAGGACATCCTGTCGCTGCGGAAACAGGCCAGCATCCTGGAGGCAGAGAACCGCGTGCTGAGGAGCCACCTGACCCAGGAGGAGGTGGAAGAGGAGCAGGACAACCCTGACAAGCCCCAGAACCTGGGTGAGGGGGTACAGGCCACCAAGGGCATCCTGGCCCCCGCCTGAGCCCAAGCTCTGGATTGCAGGACGGGGTGGCCGGGAGTCTTTCCCAGGTGTGCCTGCTGCTGGACATGGGCTGGTAGGAGCTGGCTGGGTCCTCTCTGGGATGGGACATAGAGAATGTAGTCCTGTGTCAAGCCCCAGGGTTTTGAGACACCTGCCCCCAACCCCCAACTGTGCTGATTTGAGAGGCTCCTCCCTGAGCCAGCTCGCCCTCCCCCCACCAGCGTCCATGAAGCAGAAACTGCTGCTGAGTGAGCTGGATGTGACGAAACTCAGGGACAAGGTGCAGCATTTGCAGAATGAGCTGATTCGAGTGAGCCGGGGCTTGGGGGGCAGAGGGTGTGGGAGCCTAGGGGAAGGGAGCTAGAATGGGTGCGTCTAGAGAAGAGTCTGAGAGCAGAAGGGAGAGGGGCATAGAGAGACAAGGGGCCAGCGCAGCAGAGGACTCAGCAGAGGGGCTTGGGGTGGACCCTCGGGCCAAAGGTAATGCCCAGGTACCCCTTCCTCCTCCCTCCCCCACCATCAGAAGAATGACCGAGAGAAGGAGCTGCTCCTCCTGTACCAGGCTCAGCCGCCACAGGCTGCGCTGCTGCAGCGGTACCAGGATAAGCTGCAGAAGATGAAGATGCTGGAGGAGACTGTGCGGCACCAGGAGAAGGCAGGTGCAGGGGCCCTGGCCACCAGGGCCCAGCCACGAGTGGGAAGGTGCGAGGCTCCCGGGCCAGCCTAGCCTCTGTGCTCTCCTTCCAGGTGATCGAGAAGATGGAGCAGGTGCTGGAGGACAAGCTGCGGGATAGGAACGAGCTCCCGCTGAACAGGCTGCAGGGAAAGCCCAGTGTGGGTGAGTCTGCTCCCCGCCTTTTGTCCTAGCCCAGAGGCCCTGCCTTCCCAGAGCCTCCCAGTTTCGGGAGCACCTTCAAATTGGGGAAGAGGGGTGCTATTCCTCTACTCGTTCAGGCACTGAGGGCTCCCAGAGGTCCGTGATACTTTGGTTAAATCAATGATTTGTTTTCTCCACTGATGTTAACCAAAGGTGCCTAGAACTGCCAATCAGAGGTGGCTCTGATGAACAGGAGGGAACCAGGACTCACCATATCGGGCCAGCCGAAGCAGAGGATCTCTCTGAGCCCATCTGTGCAGCCTCACCAGGGGCCCTGTGCGCTCAGCCCCGCGCTCAGCCATCACTTTGTGGGAGTGTTGGTGGCGGGCGTTTCTGGAATGGAAGCCTTTAGGAAAACAGTGAAAGCTGAGCCTGCCTTTCAGGAACCCTGAGGTCATCCAGGAATGGGCTGAGAGATAAGAAGGCAACCTAGGGAGGGGAAACAACCAGGGCGAAGGCCCAGAGAGTGACAGTGCCAAGAGCAGATGAGGGAGGAAAGGTAGAGAAGTGAAGAGCTGAAATAGACCCCAGACAAATGGCGAGGGAGTGGTTAGGGAGAACATGGATTCTAAGAGCCCAGAATGACGGCCTGAGGAGTGTAGACCTGATCCCACTGGCAGTAGGGAGCCGTTGAAGGCTTGGGAGCAGAGGAGGGGCAGAATGGGACAAAATGCTGGGGCAGATTGGGCCAGGGACACGGAGGCAGGAAAGCTCATCTCACGAACGTCTGTGGCCGCCTTCACAGCCTTCCCCAAGCTCTCAGCCCCTGGCCTTCCCCCGGGGCCTACTGGAGAGAACCTACCTGCTGACATTTACTCAGCACTCCTGGCGGAAAACTCAAGGCTGCGGGCAGAGCTGGATAAGAGCCGCCACCAGTCGGCCCCCATCATTCTGCAGCAGCAGGCCCTGCCGGTAAGAGCCGCCGGCACGGGCGCAGCTTGGGCTTGTGTGCACAGGTCACCAGGTGCCCAGCAGTCACTCACAGCACAATCCGAGTTGAAGACCAAGACCAGGAGCTGGCCTTCCCAGGGTCTGCAGTGTGCCTGGAGTCTCCTGGAGCGCCAGCTCTCAGGCCTTGCTCTTTTCTCCTGGGGACTCACATGGGTCTGAAAGCTTTACCTTCATCTAGCATCCTGGGAGAAAGCAAGCCCCTAACTGGCCTTTGACCCTTGAACTCTGACCCTTTTTGCTACCTGGCTGGCCTGCACTTGGACTTCACACAGGCCTCTCAGAACTCCCTTCTGGAGCATTTCCTGGAATTGGTACAGCCTTGGAGAGCCCTTTTCCCCCATCCCAGGTGGACCCCGGGGAGTTGGGAGCAGGAGGAGACCTGGCAGAGAGGCTGTGGGAGACAGATGGCCCAGGCCACTCCAAGTGCACAGAGACCCTACCTGTGCAGGTGGGTGCCCCAGGCCCCAGGAATGCCCTGGCCCTGCCCCACTTCCGAGGCTGCTACAGGCACCCCTGCTTTGTGCAAACCCAAAGACAGGACATGTGGAATTACAGAAGAGAGGTGGGCGGGGGCACAGGACTTCTTCTCTTCATCCCAGGACTCTCAGGAGGTGAGTTCTGTTTGAAAGCACACCTGATGCATGGACATCCAGGTAAAGTGTGGGGGCCGGGGAAACCCTTGCTTCACAAACAGATTCTTCACTTGACAAGGAGACTCCCAGTCAAGATTCCTTTCTGTACACTAACGGGTGTTCCCTAGTGCATTTTACATTTAAAAACTGATGTGCATAAATTTCAGATACCCCAAATCTGTGGGGAGAACAGCTATGAAGAGAGCCATGCCAGGTGTGAACTTGGGAAGAGGGTTCTGCCCTGGGTCTGAGGCTCTGCATCGGGGAGCCAAGTCTGGACCTCAGACCTGGCTCCTTTCTCCTTCAGCATCGCATGGCCTCCTGAGCTCACATGGCTGCAGCCCCCAGCTGGACCCATGTGTGAGTTTCTGCTGTGCCCACAGGATCTCCTTGCCAACTCTTCAGACAAGTTTAACCTCCTGGCCAAGCTGGAACGAGCTCAGAGCCGGATCCTGTCCCTGGAGAGCCAGGTAGGTGAGGTGCAGGGGTTGTAAGGCTTACCACTCAGCCCTTGACCAGGGTCAGGGCTCAGTATGTGACCAAGAACAGGGCTCAGAGTGTAACTGGGGTCAGGGATCAGTGCGTGAGCAGGGTCAAGGCTCAGTATGTGACCAGGGTTGAGACTCTGTGTGTGTCCAGGGTCGGGGTTCAGCATGTGACCAAGGACAGGGCTCAGAGCGTAACCGGGGTCAGGGTTCGGTGTGTGACTGGGGTCAGGGCTCAGTGTGTGAGCAGGGCAGGGCTCAGTGTGTGAACAGGGTCAGGGCTCAGTGTGTGAGCAGGGTCAGGGCTCAGTGTGTGACTGGGGTCAGAGCTCAGTGTGTGACCTGGGTCAGGACTGAGTGTCTAACTGTGGTCAGGGCACAGTCTATGACCAGAGTCAAGGATCAGTGTGGACTCAGGGTCAGGGCTCAGTATGCTGTTGGAATTCAGAGAAGGTCCATCTGTGTCCTAGTCAGACTGTCACTTGTCTCTTCTCCACCCACCTCTGCTGCCCCTGAGGTCTCTTGGGAGGGTGGCAAGCCCACATTGCCCAGGGTTTTGCTTTCTGCCCCGAGAGCAGGCTCAGGCTCTGGTTGTCCTGGCTCCCAGGGATGGGCCCTGCTGCCCAGCAGTTCTCCATCTGTCCCTCTCCATGTCCGCAGTTAGAGGACTCAGCTCGACGCTGGGGGCGAGAGAAGCAGGACTTGGCCACACGACTGCAGGAGCAAGAATACGGCTTGGGGCACCCCTCAAACCCCATCATCACAGACCTGCCCGTGAGTGATCCCTCTGGAGGGCTGACAACCACCCCACCCCCGAGTCACTGGGCGTTGAGAAGAACTCTCCAGGGGGCCAGCTCCCTGGCTGGAAGTCAGGAGACCTGGGCTCAGCTTCTGCTCTGTTACCAGCAGAAGCCCTTGTTCCGTCTCAATTCCCCACCCGTCTGAGGGGAATAGAAAACCCTACCAAGACCACCCCTTCCCCAGCAGGTAGTGCTGAGAATCAAGGAGGAGATGGCTGTGGATGAAGTGGCGCCCACACAGGCATTTCTGGAATGCTCTGGCACTGGCTGTACTTTAGGACTGGATTTGCTCATGGGCAGAGTAGCTGTGGCCCCCACCCAACTCCTTAGTACCTAAGATTCTCCCACGAGCGCGCTCTTCGGGGCAGCTGCGATGCCGCAGACCTGCCAGGGATGGGAGCACGTTGCCAGAGAGAAACATTGCCAGTTTCCCAGGAAAAAATAGGCCTGCTCACGACTGCCCCTCAGCTCAGCCCCAGGCCGCCCAGCCCCCAAAGCAAAAACCCTGATTGCTCCTGCCCTTGAGCCATCCACACTCTGCTCATCTCCAGGCTCCTGGAAAGGCCTGGGCAGGATGGGGATAAGGACAGGGGACACAGGGCTGCGTTTGCAAACTCACCTGCTGAGCCCTGGGGACTCTTAGAGACGTTGGGTATGACCTGCTGTGGTTAAATGGGTTTGGAAATCTTCGAGAAGTCGTGGTCCCCTGGGTTTTGGATCCTCTGAGGCGTGGCTTGCCAGGCAAGATGCACTTCAATGGGTCAGCCCCCTGGGGCAGGGGCGTACTCACCTCACCTTGCTTTGCACACCACAGAACCCCTCGACCTACTCCAAGGACCACAGGCGACCCTCAAAGCTGGACTCCTTGATGCCCAGCTCGGAGACCAAGCTCGACACGCCCTCGAACTCCCAGAAGACCTGAGTCCCAGCAGACCTGAGTGCTGGACAGGCCCCCCTCCGTATGCTGGGAGTCTCATCCCGACCCCCTAAATTGACTTTATTAAATGCAGTAGGTCCATGAGCATTCACGTCTTTCCTGGAGCAGGGCAGCCTGGGGGGCCCAGCTTCCTCCTTAAAGACCCCACTCTGGGCCTGGGCCCTCTGCTGCAGCCCTGTAGCATCCTGCCAGTCCCAGGAGCTACCATCTTTGGAGAGCCAAAGGCCATAATGGACCCAGGAAGGTGGGGAGAAGAGGCCTCCCAAAGCAGAAGCCAGGGAGACAAGCTCCTTCCTGGCCTCTGGAAAAAATGGGACCACCAGAGGCCAACTCTGTTGGAGATGTGAGGGAGGCTTGGACTTTCCACCTGCCCCCAAAATCTATCATATCTGAAATCTCTTCTTTCACATTTGGTTTATCTGTTTCTTGAGAAGGGAAAGACTTGAAGCCTGCCTGTGGCAATCAGTTGCATATTAGTGTGAAATACCCCCTTAACCAGGGCTAGACTGAGCTGGCAACGCTGTGTCCAAATGTACCAAGGGACAAGAAAGCAGATGGAGCCGGGGGAAGGAGCCTCCACTGAGAGTCAGGAGGCCTGGGTTCTAGCTACAAGCGTGCTGTGTGACCTTGGGTGACTCGAGCAACTTCTCTGGGCTTCAGTTTCCCCATCTGTCCCACGCAAAGCTTGACCTCTTTGATGGTAAGGCCCTTTCCAGCTCTAACATTTCTGAGGTAAAGCTGACTCAGGCCTGGAGAAGAGAAAGGAAAGCAGAAAGTCTCCAAGAGTGGACTCAGAACCTGCAGATCCTGGTAGAAGAGGCCAAATTGGCTGGGCGGGACTAGCTCCCCTGTCTGCCTGCAGGACTTAGACTTGGGGAGCTGAGGGCCGGGAAGCGTTGGGCACCTGGTCAGGTCAGGAGTCATGGAACTCAGAGAGGATTCTGGGGGCCAAAATTGGGACAGGTTTCAGGTAGTCCGAATGATGCACCAAAGACTCTGCCGCATTCTCCCTGCCTACTGCCCGGAGCTTGGACAAGTGGGTACATCCCCCTGGAGCAGGAAGGCGAGGCCTGGGGAAGCCCAGAGAAGGGTCAGGTGGGGTAGAGGAAGCATGCTGGCCTCTCGTCCCTGGGGTCAGCCACCTCACACCAACCCCTCACCCACAGGCCTCGGCCCTGGCCGTGCACGAGGCTCTGGCTGGACCTTGGCAGGAAGTACCCATGACCCACCCAGGATGCAGCCAAGCAGAGCCCTGCATGAGCCTCACCCCTGATAGGTGGGCCTGCCCCAGGAGCCAAGATTGGCCCACCCCTCTCAGGCCACCCTGTTCTCTCGGCAGAACCCCGCCAGGTCCTTTGTCCCTCTGCCTGCTGCCTGCTGCACAGTGGCAATAGCCCTCCCTGCCCTGCCTCGAACACAGCCCCAGGCAGTGGGGAGCTTCATCCTGCTGGCTCCCAAGCTGCTGTAGGTGGGTGGGTCCCAGCAGAAATGGCTTCAAGTGTGACTGCCTCAGGTCCCCCATTCGTGCTCAGATCCCACGTTGATGCGGCGGGTCAGGGAGCATCTCCACAGGAGTGATGGCTACCTCAGAGGTCAGATGGAAATGCAGACACTTCACATAGTTCAGCCATTTATTGCCATCATAGGGTGGGCGGGCGGGTGGGGGTGGGAAAGGGAGAGCCTCAGCTGAGCGGGGCAGTTGACCACTGAGGGCCAACTCCACCTGTCGGAGCCGGCCAGAAAGGAGCAGGACTGAAGATGCGAACACCTCCACGGCCCCACCCCCGGCCTTCCCACACCACCTCTCTGATCATGCCTGGGGTGGGTCCTGGGTTAAGGGCCGGAAGGTCAGGTAGATGGGCTTGTCAGGCGTCAGGATGAGGTTGAATGTGGTGTCCACGTCATTGAGGTGTTGGATTTCAACTCTGAAGTTCTCCAGAATCTGAGAAAGTAGGAGGTGGGCTTAGGGGAGAGGTGGGGATGGTCTCGCTCCCCTGGGCCAGGCTCATTCAGCTGTAGGCCGGGCCTGTGATCTGAGGAGCTCCCAGGGGTCCCAGCAGGCCTGTTTAACCCGGCACAGTGCCTGAAAACACACCCTACTGCTTGGTCCCCTTGCTTCAGGCTTCCACTTCAGTTTCCACAAAACCTTATCCCGCCCTACCCCCATCCCATCACCACTGTGGGGGAGCAGAAGGCCAGGGGGTACCAGTGGGTGCTGAGAGGATTAGCCCCAAAGAGGAGACAGCAGGGAATTGTGGGGGAGGGGAAGGGCAAGTAACGGAAGACAGATGTCCCCAGGCCTGCACTCCCTGGACTCTGGACAGAGATGGAAGTAGGAGGGTCTGTGCCTTCATTAGGGCCAGGGCCAGCCCAGGGTGCCCACGTGTCCCTAGGCTAGACTCACTCGGATGAGGAAGAGGGTCATCTCAAGCTCGGCGATCCGCCGGCCCAAACACTGCCGCACACCCCAGCCAAAGCCCAGGTTCCGGAAGTGGACGAGGTCCTTGTTTTTATCCAGCCATCGGGTCGGGTCAAAACAGCGCGGATTTAAGAAGAAGTTGGGGTCTTGGCCCATGGCATAGATGGACGCCTGCACCAATGTCTGGGGACAAGGTGAGCAGAGGCCTGAGTGGGCCTCACCTCCTCGCAGCTCGGAGCATCACGCAGCTTCCCCACTCCTCAGTGTGGCTGCCCAGCTCACAGGCACAGGACGCGGCCCACTGTGTGACCTTGAACAAAGCCCCACCCCTCCCCGAGCCTCAGCCATCAAATGGGCACGACTGAGGACACTAGGCCAGGGATGGCCAAAGGGACTGTCTTGCTCTTTCCTCAGACCCAGAGGGCCCCCAAGACCCAGGCAGCCCATGGGGTCTCCCTCCTCAGCCTGGGCTCCAGCAACATCCCAGAGACCGTCACCTACTGTGCCTACCACCCCGTCCTTCATTCAAACTTGGGCTGCTGCTGCCGAAGACCCCGCTAGCCAGCTCCAGGAAGAAAGGCAGGACAGAAGCCCCCATCGCCACCATCCATATGCAATTGCAGCCTGCCCCCAGCTTCCTCTGTCTGACCGACGGCCCCAGCCCTCCTGCTGTACCCACCTTGGCAGGAATCATGTAATCTCGAAGAACCAAGTCATTTGTGATGTATCTCTGTAGGGTCACGGAGATAGGGTGGAGTCTGCCAGAGGAGGGCATTCAGGTGACGCCCCAAGGCCAGGACAAGGCCCCTCACCCAGCATGGACTCAGCCCCAGCCGCAGCACCCTGGGGAATCTGAAGGCGGGGCCCAGGTTCTGTTTCCTCCTCCCCATTCCCAGCTGTCTCCCTCAGACTTCTCACTTCCTGCTCCCAGTCTCCTCCATCAGCCCATCCTTGTAACCCTGTCCCCAGCCACCACCCTGGCCCTGTCCCGGGGGGGGTGGGGCGGGACAGGCATGGGTGGACGTGGGCTTGCCTCAGGGTCTCCTTGATGCTGGCTTTGAGCAGTGGGACCAGCTGCACCATCATGTTCATGTCTCCCTGGGCCTGGCGCCGTGCAGTCAGGACCTCCTTCCGCAGCATCTCCTGCACCCTCAGGCTGCGTCCCATCTCGTACAGGTGCCACTGCAGCGTCATGGATGTCTAGCAGGGAATGTGGGAGTGCAGAAGACCAGGAGGGCCTGTTACTCCTGGGACACCTAGACCCATGCTAAATTTTCATTTCCAAGAACCTCTTCCCACCCTCATCCCAGTTTCCAGAGACTACCATCCACAAAAACAAAACACAATTCAAAAGGCAACTGTCCAAGAAACCTTTCTCAACACCCAGCCAGGAATGTTTGGGGCAGCACTTGTCCCTGCCCTCATCCCTCATGTCACCAGAGCCCACCCATCTGCCCAGCCAGTAGAGGGCCACAGAGTGGGTATTCAGGAGATACTTGTTTAATAAGGTAGTCAACTAAGTTACTAGCTGTGTGACCTTGACTAAGTTACTTAACCTCTCTGTGCCCCACTTTCCTCGTCTAAAAAAGGGAGATAATAGTAACATACTTCATAGCGTTGTTTGTGAATACTAAATAAGTTAACACGTGAAAATCTTAGGACCTTGCCTGCCATATAGTACGTTATTAATAAATGTTTCCTAATAATAATAGCTGCTTTGGTACAGTTGAGCATTTTTTGGAGATTTCTTCTACATAACTGACAATGAACTATGTTTAAAACTGCTCAAAGGCTCCATCTGCAGCCTGTCACAGGGATCAAAACTCCTCCATTAGCGCACAGTATAAATATGATACCTAGGAAAGAAAGTTCTTCACCCAGCGGGCCTTGACACATGCTTCTCCCTAGGCCTGAAATGCTATTCCTCCGCTCTCCTCCTGGCAACAGCCTTCAAGACACAAGTTGAATTTTTGCTCCTTTATGGAGCACTCTCCGCGTCCTGCAAGGCGGTGTTAGTCCATCCCCTGTTCTGAGTGCTATCAGTACCTGATATGTGCCTGGTCATCCAGCCCCATGACATGGTGTGGTGGTTATCTGTGCACATGTTGCCTCCTTGTCATGGCTGAATTGTGCCCCACCCCCTCAATTCATATGTTGAAGTCCTAACCCCTAGTACCTCACAATGTGACTGTATGCGGAGATAGGGCCTTTAAAGAGGCAAGTACGGTAAAATGAGGTCATATGAGTGGGGTCTAATCTAACAGGGCTGGTGTCCTTATAAGAAGAGATTAGGACACAGACACACACAGAGGGAAGACCATGTAAAGATAGAGGGAGAAGATAGGCATCTACAAGCCAAGGAGAGGGGCCTCAGAAGAAAGCAACCCTGCCAGCAACTTGATCTTGGACTTCTAGCTCCAGAACCGTGAGAAAATAAATTTCTGCTGTTTAAGCCCCCCAGTGCATGGTGCTTTGTTATGGCAGCCCCAGCAAAGTAACACACTCTTCCTCTCTGAGACTTTTGGGACATTTGAGGTCTATCGTGTTTGTCTTTACAGTCTCCGTGCCTGAGTCATAACTATAATCAATCAACACTAAATAAGTAACCCTCACTGTCACATTAGCATGGGGAACTTTAAGATACTGGAAAAAGGAATGGTACACAGGACAGATAAGTTTTGATGTTCAGGAAGAGAAGCTTCTGGGGTATTGTACCATACTGCCTGTGGAAAGAGCGTGAGGGAGACACCACAGAAGATGGCTTCAGGCATCCGGGGTGCCATGGCAGACTGAGGTCTGGAACCAGAGGACAGAAGACAACAAAAGACCCTGGAGGGCAGAGCCCAGGGCAAATTCTGCTGGCTCCCAGCTTTTCTGAGGTCCTGCCTGCCTTCCTGAATCCAAGTGATCTGTGTCCCCTACCCGTGACTGGAGGACGTCCCCCTTAGAGACTCCATGCAGAACCTGGGCTCGCCACCTGCGCCTAGTCCCTCCCTTCTCACAGGCAAAGAAAAATGGCAGATCAGCCTCCAGGCATGCTCCATGGGTGACCTGACTTGACCTCACTCTTCTAGGAGGTTGGTGTTTAGGCAATGGAGTCAGGAAAGGGAACTCTACTCCACATTGGCAGGTTTTCAAACAATGAGGCAGGCTGGTGGGGAAGGGGCACATAAGCACAGGTGGGGACAGGATGTGCCCCTAGAGCCACCTCACCGTGTCTACGCCCCCTGCCAACATCTCAGTAACGTTGGCCTTGATGTCCTCGAACGGCAGCTTGTTACTTCCCAGGAGGCGGTAGAGGATGCCCGGATAATTGCTGAAGTCTCTTTTCTGTTTCAGGTCCTGGTAGAAGTTCTGGGTGTATTTTTCAGCTGCGGGGCAGGTGGAAAGAAAAAAGAGTGAGGTCTCTGCGGGTGGGAGGGAAGGAGAATGATCCTTGGTGACAGGTGACACCAAGGGCGTGGGGATTCAGGAGCCCAGCGCTTTCTAGACTGAGTTTTACTGAGAACAAACTCTGCTAAGCATTTCACATCTGTTTTTCATTAATTTCTTTTTTTTTTTCTTGTGAGGAAGGTCAGCCCTGAGCTAACATCTATTGCCAATCCTCCTCTTTTTTTTTTGCCCTTTTTCTCCCCAAAGCCACAGTAGATAGTTGTATGTCATAGTTGCACATCCTTCTAGTTGCTGTATGTGGGACACCACCTCAGCATGGCTGGACAAGCAGTGCATCGGTGCGCACCCAGGATCCAAACCTGGGCCACCAGCAGCAGAGCGCGCGGACTTAACCGCTAAGCCATGGGGCCGGCCCCTCATTTACTTCTTGACCACAGCTGTATGGGGTAAGTGATATCCTCCCCATTTTACAGATAAGGAAACAGAAGCCCGTAGAGGCTGTGACATGCACAAGGTCACGTGGGTTTCAGGGCAGAGACGGGATTTGACTCCAGGTCTGGCATCATCACCACTCCCGAATCACCCCTCTTCACCCTACCTTACCAATCAGTTTCCCCAAAGTCCTAATCTGTCACCAAGCACAGCCACATCTGAAACACTGCTGCTTAACCCTCTAGGGGTCATGGACTCCTTGGAAGAATATGAGGGACATCTTTGATCCTCTTTCTCCAGAAAAATCTAATCATCCCCAATAGCTGGCCTTCAGGCCTCACGTCCAGGGTTCCAGTGCCTTCCTGACACCCATCCCTACCCACCAGGGGGTGGGTTTCCTACATGGCAAGTCAGTGCCCATTGACATAACTCAGGACAAAGAGGCAGGCAGAGGCCTGGGGCTTCCAGCTATCTTTCTCCCCCCGCCCCCAGGCCTGGGTTTTCCACCCTCTGAGACACATAGAGCTGTCTTGGCCCCCAGACTTGGCTGCCCAGGGTATAGGCCTCACCTTTACTGAAAATTATGTCCCATGATGCCACATGGTCCCTCCAGGTCTTGGTCCTCAGCAGACGGAACAGGCCCGGGGGGAAGTTGAGCATGGGGACGCTGGTGTGGAACATCTTGTAGACAGCGTCAATGAACTGCTGGGCCTCGGGGTTCACTGTCTCCTCCAGTGTCCCCAGGCGCTCTCCAAATATGACGTTGGTGATGGCTGCATGGGGAGGCAGAGACTGAGGAGCCCCTTCCAACCCAGCCATCTGAGAGCCTCAGCCCCCAGGACCCCACCCCCACCCCACCAACATATAGGCTCTCCTGCACCTAACCTCAGTCTTCTTCAGTAAAGAAACTGAGGCCTGAGTCCCAACGGGCTGAAATTGCAAAGCTGAGGAGACTGCCCTTCTCTCAACCACTCAGGTCCTTCAGAGGAGCATGTGGAAGACCCTGAAAAGGGATCCCTTGGGTGGGAAGCAGAGTCTCCAGCAGAGCTGGGAGAGGGCCCAGGCTGGGAGGAAACTGCTCTGCCCACTCTCCACCACCCCAAGAAGCCTCTGGGCTTTCCTCAGGGGAAGAGAGATTTCTCATCTATAATTGACCAAACTGGCCAAATACTTCCTGAAACAGATCAGACAGGAGACTGGCAGACTTAAATCCCCAGTAACTGGCCATCCAGGACCCATTCTGGCTGGACCTAAAAAGTCACAACAACCCCAAGTTTTTCCCACCTACTGGGTCAGAAATTTGAATGCTGATTTCATACAACTCTGGGCATCCCAAATCTCCTGCAATGATCACATAATCCCCATCAAGCCACAGGGCCGTTCATGTGCTGTCCCCTCTGCCTATACCACCCCATGTCCTTACCCCATCTGGAGAACTCCTACCCAGTTCAGATTAACCACCCAACCCTCTCTTCCCCTCCCAGCCCTCAAAGGTCTATGTCCCAGGAAAGGGAGGGAGATTAGTGGAAGGAAAGGCTGAGCCAAGCTCTGGCTTTTGGAGAATAGTGGCAATGGGGACCTACATTTTGGAGACGCTTGCCCCCACAGCATGAATGCCAGATGAGAGTGTGCAGCTGATGGTGGAGGATGGGCTCAGCAGCTCATCCCAGAAGCCAATCCCAACACTTCTTCAGGGTCTATGCTGGGTCTTAAGGTGGGACTCTGCATGCTCCCACCCCCAGGACTACTGCCAGGTAGGTGCAAGCCCCTTACACTCGAAGGCGAAGCGAAACAGGTCTTCACAGATGTCCCCTGACAACTCTCCGGAGCCCTGCTGCTCGATGCGCCTGTGCAGGATGCTGACGAAGTCCCGAGACACAGCATCCAGCAGGGGAATGAAGTTCTTTATGGACTCTGGAGCCATCACCTCCTGGTTCAGGGCTAACCGGTCTTTCTTCCAGTCTCTGGACTTCCTGAGAAAACATGGGCCCTCGGGCCCTCATGGTCACAAACCCCTGGCCTGGCAAACACAGAGGGGACTGACTCTGCTCTCCCAGGAGGCCGAGCCACAGCTCAGAGTCCAGCACTCACGTCCACCCCTGCCCTCACCTCCTCCCAACACCCTCAGCCTCTCACCTCCTCTAGCTTCTGCCTGGCCGGGGGGAGGGGACAGGAAGAAAGAGGGTGAAGGAGAACAGAACCCCGCAAAGCTCCAACCTCCCTCCACTCCCTGTGCTGCAGCTGCGAGCTAAGAACTCATATTCTCAGAGCTTCTAAGCAACATTCAAGCCGTCTGGTCTTTGCCTCGGCTGCAGACGTGCCTTCTCCACCTCTTCCCCTTCCCCCTGGCCAATGCTCACCTCCTGCCATTCAAGGTCCCTCTTTGTCACCTTTTCTGAGCCCTGCACAAGCACAGTTGACTGATCTCTCCTCCTTTGCACCCCAACACGTCCCTTTACTCACTTTGTGGGGAGAGGATCTCAGATGCCCAGAATTGGGTTAATGATAAACCTCAGCTTGTGGCCCTTTCTTGAAAATAGATCAGTGCAAAGCCCTCTTTGTAGTTCAGGGGCTATGTTTGTTTATAAGAATGTTATTATAAAATTACCACCCAACATGAAAACTAGGAACTTGACAGGAATGTCCACGTGCCCACCTGGTCCTCCCCCAGCATCCTGCCTCCCCAGCGAGGGGACCGCCAACCTGACCCCCTTGCTTGCTTTTGTATCTAGTTTCGTCTGATCTACACATATTTCTAAAGATTTTATTTTATTCAGTTCTTCCCCCCAAAGCCCCAGTAGATAGTTGTACGTCATAGGTTCACATCCTTCTAGTTGCTGTACGTGGGACTCAGCCTCGCGTTGGACGGAGAAGTGGTGCCTCGGGGCGCTCCCGGGATCCGAACCCGGGCCGCCAGCATCAGAGCGCGCGCACTTAACCGCTAAGCCACGGGGCCGGCCCATGATCTACACATATTTCTAAAACATACTTTTAAAAAATATACTTATTTTCAACTTCTTATAAAAGCTGTCATGATTTGCTTCTTTCACTCAGTTTTATATTTCTAAGTCTCATCTGTAGAGCTGTGGGTGCCTGAGTCCAATCGTTTTGACATGTGTACACCACCACTCGCTCATTCATGCTCCTGTTGGGCATTTAGGTGGTTTCCTGGTTTTTGGTATTATGAACAGCTCTGCTGCCAGCATTCCAGGACAGGCCCCCTGGGGTGGGGGATATTCTTTGGAGTATATCCCAGAGAGCAGAAGCATTACACCTTATATGTGAATATTCAGCTGCGCGAGGTAACGTCCAACCATTTTCCAAAGTGGTGGCACCAGTTTTCACTCCCACTAGCAATCTATGAGAGTTCTAATTGCTCCATATCCTCACCAGCACTTGATATGGTCACATTTTAAATTTTTGATGAGCAATTTGATGGAAAACGGTATCCCTTACACTTAAATACACTGATTCATCCATGTTTCTCACTGCCCCTTTAGACTGTGAAGGACTCTGTGAGGGGCCCTGTCCTAACTGTCACTGTTCTTCCAGAGCCTGGCACAAGGACTGGCACATAGTAGGTACCCAGTTAGATGAGACTCAACCAACGAGGCAGTAAATGAGAACTTTTCAGGGTCTTGAATCACTCATTAAGATTTTCAGCCCAACCATTTCCTGAAGGTTGGCAGAGCAGTTCACCGTCGCTGTCATCTGTTTTATGGAGGCAGGAAGATGATGGGGATTTGCCCAGGGGCCCCAGCTAGAATGGGCAGGGGAGGCCTGGCCCCAGCCCCTCACCCCCAGCCTCTGCCCTCGTCACAGCTGCCCACCGTCTCCTTCCAGCCCCTGGGAGATGGCCCAGGACTCACTTAAACAGGACTCCAATGGGTTTCTGGTAATACTCGTGGTAGGCGACCCAGGGCGGGATGAGGTATCGTTCTGGGTTGGGACCCTCGAACTTAAAGAGAAGAGCCACATCTTCAGGGTCAATGATATACACTGACTCCACATTGCCGAGCTTCTCCCTGGAGGGGCCGAGGAGAGAGGCTATGACATAAGGACTCGAAGACAGCCATGCAGACCCTGGGCAATCAGGACCTGGGACTTAGCTCATCTGTAACCACCTCACGGCTGAGAGCGCAGAGCAGACGGGCTGGGAGTGGAGCCCCGTGCCACAACCTCCTTGCTGTGTGACCTGAGGCAAGGCTGTCCCCGCCTGAGTCTGTTTCCTCTTTTATAAAATGGAGATGTGGGAGATCAGAATTGGCCACCTCATAATATGTCTCTTTACCTTGATTATTTTCTCTGAAAGAAACTTTGACCTCCCCCCACCCCACTAACTACCTAAAAGAATTTAACTCTGGGTATGGATAGACTGGGACATCCCTTGCTAAGCCCATTCCAAGTAAAAGTAGAAGTTATCATTTGTAAGAGACATTTACATTTATAAGGGAAATCTCCATTTGTAAAGGTATCTCTCTCTCTGTTCTGGGAAGAAGAGGGGATGACCTTATCTCTAGAAACTTATCAGTGTGGAAGGCAGGACTTAAATCTGCATACTCTTGTTCACCATGCTTTCTGGTAATCTCCCATAGCTGACTCCCCCCACCCCCAATATCCTCCTTTGTCTACCCGAATATGCTATTTAAGGTGAAAACCTCCACTATTTGTGGAGATACTCAGTTTCCCTGGGTCTCTCCCATGTATACATGTCATAAAGCTTTGTTTGACTGTCTCCTGCTATTCGGTCTCATGTCAATTTACTTTGTAGCCCAGCCAGAAAGGACCCAGAGTGGGTAGAGGATAGTCTTCCTCCCCTTCAGAGATAAATATAGTCTCGCAGGGTTGCTGAAGGATAAGAGGACAAGACGTCTGTGGACGGGACTCCTGGTAGGCAGTCTACAATTGACAACTTCATGCTCATCTTGTCGCCACGGTGGGTGCTGCCCTACCGCAGCACGTCCCCAGGCCCAGGGCCACACCCCTCCCAGGGCCTTCCATGGACTGTCAAGCCCTCCATCTGTCCCAGGCTCGTTCTTTCCGTGCATCACACCCTCAGCACCCTCCACCCTCACCCACCCCAGAGCTCAGAAACACGGCCCCTTCGTGTCACCACTGGAGTGGCCCTGGACGGCAGTGACTCCATGGAGCTTGCTAGGCAGGCCAGACACAGGGCAGGCAACCCCTTCTAGGCTCTAGGATTGAAATTCTGGGTGTGGCTACCCTGCCCCCAAGAGCCAGGCACCCGACAAAGCACGTTGTCTCTATTAAAATAAAACTGTGGTAAAATGGGCCCTAAGTATAGGTCTACCTCACAGACACTCTGCAGGCCATCTCTATAAAATACAGCTGCTGAGAAACAGAAAATTCCACTGCTCACTTGCATCTGCCTTTTGCCTTAGAAAGTTAAACCAAGATATGCTTTAAGGCAAAATATCATAAAAACATACAGGTACAAGTCAAGTTCTCTTTCCCTCCCTCCCTCCCTCCCTCCCTTCCTGCCCTTATTCCTTCTTCTCCGAAGAGGAGAGGGAGAAGACATAGGGGGAAGGGGAGAAGGGGAGGAGTGGGAGAGGGAGAGAGGGAGGGAGAGGGAGGAGGATGGGGGGGAGAGAGGGGGAGGAGAGGGAGGGAGATTGGCAGGGAGAGAGAGCCTGCCTTAACCATTGGCCCACAAAGCCTGGGCCTACCTTCCCTCCCAGGTCTCCCGGCCTCTGTCCCCTACCTTCCAGAAAATGCCCTCAGTGTTTTTCCAGCCACCTCGTGTCCTCACACCACTAGCTCCATACCCCCACCCCAGCTCAGCAAAGCGTTGAACTGCTATTATTATTATCAATTCTACTTCTGGGAATCTAGCCCAAGGCAATGATCCACCATCAGACAGTGATGCCTGATGGATAAGGATGCGCATCACAGCAATGTCTCTATAGCAAAATGACCCAGCGTGGGCTAGATGTCCACTTTAAAGAGCTGGCTAAAAAAATATGGCTCGTCCGTACTATGGATTACTATGCTCCCTTTTAAAATTATATTAGGGGCTGGCCTGGTGGCGCAGTGGTTAAGTGCGTGTGCTCCGCTTCAGCGGCCCGGGGTTCGCGGGTTCAGATCCCGCCAGGGCACCGACGTACTGCTTGTCAAGCCATGCTGTGGCGGCGTCCCATATAAAGTGGAGGAAGATGGGAACGGATGTTAGCCCAGGGCCAATCTTCCTCAGCAAAAAGAGGAGGGTTGGCATCGGATGTTAGCTCAGGGCTGATCTTCCTCACACACACAAAAAATTATATTGAGAGAGAAAAGAGGAAGAAGTCCTTGATATATTGCTGTGGGACAACACCAAACAGCGTATATAATATAGTCACATTCTTAATGGTACATAAATATTATCAAAATTGAGATTGCATCTGATTTCAATTTTTCATTTGTGCTTGTCTATATTTTCTAAATTGTTCTGTAAAGAACAGGAACAGCATTTGTATTAAGAAAAAACCCCATGAAAATTATATTTTAAATTCCTCATGTTTAATCAGAAGTTTATCATTTCCAGGCTATAAGTTAGAATATAATGATGACACACCAACTGGAAGTCAGACAGTTGAAGTTCCAGCCCTGACTTTGCCCTGATGAGCTGTGCGACATTTGCAAGACCCTTCTCCTTCCTGGGCCTCAGTTTCCTCATCAGTAAAATAGGGATAACAACATCAATTTCAAGGACAAGTTGCAAGGCTCGGATGATAGTGACTCAGAAAACAGAAAGGGGCTTGACAAAATCAGGAGTCCCTCCTGGGGGGCAGGAAGCAGGGAATAAAGAGAGATCTCCATGAAGTGAGGTTGGGGATAGAGGCACTGACAGGCCTAGCAGAGACAGAGAGCGAGAGAGAAAGAGAGAGAGAAAGGAAGAATGACTCAGAACAGCCTCCTCTCAAGCCTGGAGCTCAGCCTGGGGGGCCTGCCTGCCTCTACCCAGCTGTAAAAAAAAGGCCCTTTAGACTTCAAGGGTGCTGTGGGAGAGAGAGGGAGTGAGCCTGAGGAGTGAGCAGCTGGACCCTACACAAACAAGCCTGCCCTCTCACCCCCATGCCACCCACCAAGCCAGCCGATGTGTCACATGATGCCCTTTCCCCCTCCTGATCCTTCACTTAAACTAAAATGCACTATCCCTCCTGGTGTCCCCTCCCTTCCCCAACCACCACCTCCACTACCTCCCATCCCCCTCGACTATGCTCTCAGAAAAGAACCCAGGTGTGGCTTGAAGGCTACCCACCTTAGAAACTGCTAAACCAGAACAAGCAGGGCTGAGAGGGAAGGCTAGACAGGACCCAGCAGGCTCTGGGATCCAGGTGGGTGACCAGGGCAAGAATCCTAACCTCTCTGAGCTTCAGGCTCTTCTGACAATGGGGCTGATAAACTTACCTTCCGAGGTGTCCCGAGGGTGGTGGATGTAGGGAGGCAGTTAACAGGGCTTGTTCTCTTACCATCCACCCCATAAAGTTTCAAAGGGTGTGGGACCTGGGGAGGGTAGAGGGCTCAGGGCTGGGAACTGAACTCCCAGTCTGGAAGCCTTATCCCTCCTCCTGCCACCATCTCAGGCATGGAAGAAATAAAACCATGGTGAACAAGAGCCTGGAACAGGAGAATTGATCATTTGGGGAGCAGGGAGCACTGCAGAGCTGCCCAGGCCCCTCTGCCTCCCTATCCTGCCAGCCCCCACCCTCTGCCAGGCTTACCTGTAAATGGGGCCATACTTCTGGAAATTCTGGAGTTGGTGATAGTGCATTTTCTTTGAGCCCTTCTCCCTCCAGAAATGGTACAGGTTTAGCCAGCCATTGTCACCAGGGGAAGGGATCTCATTGAAGGGGCGAGGACTGTGACTGGAGATGCCGGCTCCGTCTCCAGTGGGCACCCTGGGATGCCCCAGGCCCTCCCGAGGGGCACACAGGAGGGGCTGGCAGCCTTTGACCAGGACTGAGCGCAGGGGAAGCCCCCTGACCAGCATATTGTCCCCACGACTGCCACTGTCCCTGTTGCCACTGCAGCAGGGATGACTCTGGCCCTGGGCCCCTGGGCCCCAGCTTATAACCACCAGCTCAAGGCTAAACGAGAAGCTGATAAAGCAATCAGCCTCCCTCCTCCTCCTGCTGGCTCCGGCCCACGCACAGCCCCTCCCAAGGCTCAGTCTGGAATTTCTGCAGTGGAGAGATTCCCCAAAGCACAAGGAAAGCCCACTGTCTCTGTCCTCAGCACCAGCCCCAGCAGGCCTCTGAGAGCGCACAGAAATGATACAAGTTTGTGCCTTTGCCTCTGCTGGGGCCTCCTGCTGATCCCTGCTGTGGGACCCAGCTGCTGGCAGACACCGTGAGGATGTGCGGACAGCCTGGGTTCGGGGGTAATGAGGGGCCCAAGAGGAGGTCGCAGCCATCTTGCAGCTTTGGGGCAGCATACATCCTAGTTGCAGCCCTGCTATATACATACACGTATATATGTATAGTTCCCTGATTTTTAAAGTTCTACTTTTTCTGCTTGGAAAAAAAAAAATACCCTATATTTTCTGAAAATGTTGTAATTGGCAGGTGTTGCTATTACTATATTTAAAGATACTACTATCTGTAAAAAATAAACTAAACTACAGTCATATTTGCTCATTGTAGAACACTGAGAAAAGGACAAACAAGAAAAATTAAAATTTCCTGAGTCTTTATTTATTTATTTTTTTAATTTTATTTATTTATTTATTTTTTCCCCCAAAGCCCCAGTAGATAGTTGTATGTCATAGTTGCACATCCTTCTAGTTGCTGTATGTGGGACGCGGCCTCAGCATGGCCGGAGAAGCGGTGCGTCAGTGCACGCCCGGGATCCAGGCCTGGGCCGCCAGCAGCAGAGCACGCGCACTTAACCGCTAAGCCACGGGGCCGGCGCCTCTTGAGTCTTTAATGTTGAGTGAAAGAAGCCAGACACAAAAGAGGGCAGACTGTTGGGTTCAATTTTGACAAATTTCAGGAATCAGCAAAATGAATTTATGGTGTTAGAAGTGGTTCTCTTGTGGGGTAATGACTGGGAGAGGGCATGAGAGAAATTTCTGCGGTGCTGGAAATGGTCTCTCTCTTGATCTGTGTGTTTACATATGTGAAAATTCTCCAGAGCTATACACTTGTGATTTTTGCATTTTATGGAATATAAGTTACCTCAATAAAAACATGTTTTTTAAAAAATGTGTCTTTTTTGTGTGTAAAAAACAATGGGCCTTCACAAAGAGGACACTGCCATAAGAAAGAATTAAACTCAAATCAAGTTTTGGTGCAGCTGTTACCACACAAAGGGCACGATATGCTCGCTGCGAAACAAAAGCCAGTCGTCAAAAGGCAAGATGGTGGCAGAGAAAGGGCACTTTATTACAGCTTGCTAGCAAGGGGGAAGATGGCCCACTAATGTCCGAAAGAACTGTCTTAAAGGGGCAGAAGATCTTCCAGCAGTTATATAGGCCGGTGGGTTAGAGGGGAGGGAGTTAGGAATGTTGACCCTCTGGTGTTACATTCTGGGAGGTTGCCACACCAGGTCTTTCAGTTTTCATTGATGATGGCTATCAGCATAGACTCTCTGTTCAGGAGTCATGACATTGCTAAAGAACTCAAAAGAACAAAGTTATCATCTTATCGCAGCTGGGAGGTATTTGCACAAGCAGGGGTTATAAAATCTACAGAAAAGTTAGATCTCCTGGAGGCTGCATAGCTACCTGGGGTAGTTAGCCAGAGGTCATTCTAAGTTACAATAGGGTTTCTTTTCTACAGTATGGCTTCCCTTATGTCAACCTTGTCTTGAGCTGGTATCACAGCTCCCCCTCCTCAATATGATGGGAAGGAGAAGCAAGTCCCTGGCTCAAGGGTGAGCGAATAGTCACGGGGGCAGGACATGGCCCATCCCGCCACACCACAGAGAACAGGGTCAGGGGTACTGGGAGCCCTGGCCCTGAGAAGCTCTGTGGGGCAATGTATCTGGCAGGGAAGGGGCAGCAGTTCACACAATGGGTCCCAGCAAGGGTGACGGCACAGCCACACCTGAACATCTGTCCTGCTGGCCCAGGCAGCAGCCATCAATCGGACTCTCACTGTTTATGGGGCAGATAAATGTGGTCCTGGCTTTTATCAAAAACCGCTGGGCATCCAGGGCTGGGCTGCCCAGGCCCAAATACCCACAGATTGCTTTTTTTTTTTGGAGACTCTCCCTCTAATGACTCCACACCCCTCTCAAGGCAGAAGCCAGAAACTCACTTTCCCAGCATCCCTTGCCACTGGGATGCAGGCGGATGTCTTGGGCTCCACCAATCAGATGCCCCCTGGTGAAATTTTGGTTGAGAAGGTAGTGACATGATGAAGCAGGCACCATGTGAAACCCTTTCTGGCACATGTGGTGGCAGAGACCTCCAGCCTGGGCCGGCTGCAGCATGTGAGCCCTGTGGGGGTCAGCGGTGGCCACCGAGGCAGCCCTGGAATGTGATTCCGACAATGTTCCTGACACCTTGGCAGTCCAGCCTGATTATCTACCCTCCAGGAGATTTTGTGAACTACATGGCATCCCTTGATAAATCCCTTCCCTGTGAAATATCAGCTAGAGTGAACTCTGTTCTTGACAACTAGGAACTCTGAATGATACAACAGTAAACAACCAGTTATATTGCCGAAAGTCCACCACACTCCTACATTTCAAACATAGTTTGTACCTAAATTAATACAGGTAAGTTGGATCATTTTGCGCCATCCTACTTCTAATTTATGCCTTATATGCTTTACCTCATTAAGGGGACATTCTGGGAACCAAAGAGAGAAATTCTCAAGACAAAGTAGTGTTTGACGGAAAGAGGGGGGCAGAAAGGTTTGTTGTGGGAACTGCCACTGTAGTACCTGTGGTTCCACCACCCTGAGATAAACATAAACCCTGGAAAAAATAGTTGATGTATTTCCTTCCAGCCCTTCTTCTAATTAATTCTTTCCTGTTTTCTTCTTTCTTTTTCTGAGTGGTTGAAATTTTATTGTTTGATTTTTACTTCGATGTAAACTTTTATCCAAATAATCCATACGGGTGGTTTAACATTTCGTTTAGCTCTTGCACCAGTCCAGGTTTCACCAGAGAAGCAGAACTAGAAGGAGATATGTATTAAGAGATTTATTGCAAGGAATTGGCTTATGCAATTGTGGGGCTGGCTGGGCAAGTCTGAAATACACAGGGCAGCCGTCAGGAGGGCCAGCCAGAGCCCTCGGACACAAGCTGGTGCCGCATTCCACAGGCGGAATTTCTTCTCCTTCAGGGAAATCTCAGTCCTGCTCTTAAGACCTTTCAGTTGATTGAATCAGGCCCACCGAGAGTGTCCAGGATAATCTCTTTTACTTAAAGTCACCTGATGATGGACTTGAATCACCTCTAAACTGCCTTCACAACAATCCCTAAATTAGTGTTGGAATGACTGAGGGCTGCAGCCTAGCCAAGCTGACATACAAACCCAGCCATCACGGTACTACTAAGCTTCTAAGGAAAAAGAGCAATTGTCTGCTCCAGCCCTCCCAACTCTTGATGCCACTTCCCAGAGGAGAATGGAAATCTCTTCTCAACACAATCAAGCACACGAGGCTCCTCTCCTTCTCTGTTTCTTCTTGGGAGCATCCCTTGTGGGGCCTTCCACCCACTCACTTTCCCCAATCTACGCTGCTCATCTCTGAGCCCACGCACGGCTGTCATCCAGGGACCTCCCCTCACCCTCATCTTGGAAATATCCTTTTTCTTGCTCCTGTTCCTGGATCCCATGTCTCTCTTGTTTTCAGTGCCTTCCTTAGAAAGAGTGCCTGAAAGGTAAAATTTTGAGAACTTGCTCATCTGACAATGTCTTTATTCTGCCCTCACACTTGATTGAGAGTTTAGCTGGATATGGAATTCTATGTTGGAAACAATTTTCAATCTTTTACACTAATTTTGAAAGCAGAGCCTCATGGTCTTCCGCTTCCGGAACTGCTACTGAGAAGTCCAAAGCCTTTTGGACTTCTGACTCCTGAACCCTTGCGTATGTGCTTTCTTTCCTCCTCCCGTCACTCGTAGGAGCTTCTCTTTATTTTGGCTGCTTCGAATTTCACAATATATCTTGCCACACCAGTCCTCAGGCTGAATGATTGGCAAGCTCTTTCAATCGGGAAACTCATGTCCTCAAATTCCTGGACATTTTCTTGTATGATTTGTTTCATAATTTCTCCCTTCCATTTTTTCTTTTCTCTATTTCTGGAACTTCTGGTATTCATATGTGAACCTCCTGGATTGATCTTTTGTTTATGCTTTTCTCATCTCTTCCATATTACATTTCTTTGTGTTCTATTCCACCTACTGAGAGACTCCCTGCTTAAGCTTCCAACGCTTCTGTTGCAATTTTTATTTCCACCCTGCGTTTTTTAGTTCCCTGGGGCCCTTTCCTGTCTCTGGATGTGGACACAGGATGGACGTGATAGCTTCTCAAAACTCTGAAGATATTGATCACAGCATTGTTTTTCAGGTTGGTTTTTATTGTTTTTGTTTTCAGTTTTCTTTTGTTCTCTGAATTGTCTGTTTCCTCTGAGTTCTTCTTTCTGTTTTTGGTCCCTGCCTTTCTTGTTAGACGTTTCCTCAAATGTCTACTTATTTTTGGTAGTCCATTAGGAGTCCTCCCCGGACTCCAAATTTAAGAGTCAGGACCCAAAATGCTGGCCAGTTCAGAACATGTGAGCCAGGCTTGTCCAGCTGTGGCTTTGGGGCAAGGTCATCAGGGAGGATGCTGACAGATCCCCAATGTCAGCAGCTATATGACTTGGCAGTTAGGCTGATCATTTTCCCTGAGGAAGAATCTTCTACATTATCAGTACGGCACCTCTCACTTGGCCTCACTGTGGCTGGTGTCCCTGGGCCGAGAGCCTTCTTGGTTCAATGAATCCAGGAAGCAAACCTCGACACGTTGCCCCAGAAGCCCTCCAGGTGTTCTGTGCACACAGCTATGGTCATCGTGTTCATGCAATTTTATGTGCGGCTGCGTTTTCACCAAATTGTCA